TTTTAGTTAGAATAGATGGCTAAATGTTGCTTGGTTACTTTAAGAGTTAATAACGGACAAAGTGGCGTATCAGTTGCATGCGAAACAAGGGACACCATCTTTTTGTAGAATCCACGACATTCAACTATATAACATGAAAATTGCCCAAGAGACATTCGATCTTCCTTCTTGGCTCGGAGGGCATCACAGGCAATGCATGCCTCCTACCCCTTGATGGCGGTGGCGCATCGGCACGAACACAGTGGGAGGGGATCAGGACGAAGAGCGGAGCGGTTGGCAGGGGAGTCCTCATTGGCGGTCCGTGGAGAAGTACGATGTGAAGGAGAAAGGCTGCGATGGGGAAGATGAGCTAGGCGTTATCCAGTTTTAAGGAGAGGGCTCCAGTAAGAAATGCCACACTACAGAGGAAAACCGAGCGGGAAGGGAAGGGTCAGGTAGGAAAAGGAAAGGGTGTGTCGTGGGGTGGGGTTTTCTGATGGGCACACATGTTGGTGATAACATGACAGATAGTCCGAACAACCACAATTCCAGTGGGGGGAGGGGGTCAGGGCGGAGAGCAGGGCAGGTGTCGGATCGACACAAACACGAGGGGAGGGGATCAGGGCGGCTGGCAGATCAGCATGAACATGAGGAGAGGGGATCAAGGCAGTTGGGAGAGGAGTCTTGCTTGGTTGTTTGTGGAGATGTACAGTGTGAACGAGAGAGGATGCCATAATGAAGGTGGGTTGTGCTCAACAACAAACATCATATTTTAGTGGAATGCACAACATTCAATTTGCATGTTACAACGTGGCAATGCTTTAGGAGAAAATGGATTTGTATTCTCGGATCGAGGTCCGTCACGGGTGGCACACAACACCTACCCCTTGTTGGAGGTGGCGGATCAACCCTAACCGGGGGGTCAGTGTGGAGAGCAGGGCGGTTGGAGGGGGACTCCTCCTTGACGGTCCATCGAGAAGTACAGTGTGAAGGAATGACACTACTAGGGAAAATCCTAGCAGTAGCGCGGGTTTTGTGCCCACTAGTAGCGCGGGAGGCCGCACTACTAATAAGGCGCTACAACTATTGCTTAGCAGTAACGCGTGCCCGCACGTGCTACTGCTAGGATAAATAGCTGCAGCGTTTGTTCATTCCCACGCTACTGCTAATCTAGCTAGTGGCAGCGTGTTTACTCTCCATCGCTACTAGTATTCTTTTTTTATTTTTTTATTTTTAGTGTATTTATGCGCCATCGTACAAATATTGATACAATACCAGTTATGGGATTTACATCATTATGTCCATAACAGTGTGTCAAATGAAGGTGAATTAGGTTCAAGTGGAGGCAATATGTGGTGCATGTCAAAAGTATACTACTAAACCAAACTTGATCTAGTTTGAACTAGTAGTACTTTCGATGTGCACCACATGTTGCCTCCACTTGAATCTAATCCGCCAACACAAGCTATTTAATCATCATCATAGTCATAACATCGTCATAACATCAACAGTAGTTATTTAATCATCATAGTCATAGTGTAGCACATCATCATCTTCAAACTCATTCTAGCTAGTTAATCACCACCAACACTAGCTGCGGTAGCTATCTAATCACCAGCAACACTAGCTAATAAAAATCATTAGAGTCATTACCACCAACACTAGCTAATCACTCCTATTGCTCTCTCTCAAGTAAAATAACATAAAACATGTGTAGCACTCGTTCTTCATCAAGTTGGAGCATGCAGATGAATCTGTCTCCTAATCGTGGACTGCGCTTCTGATTGCTGTCCCCTAGTACTTCTCTGCGATCGTTCACAATTTTGCTCCAATCTTTCACTATTAAGCATTCCTCGCTATTAGAAATCCTGACTGCACTAAAGTGCATTATAGGATATCTTGGTCGTAAGCTAACAATTCTCATCTGACCTTTAATCTCGATCCAATGAGGCATAACATTCAGCGGGAGTCTCTGTTGAAGAACATCGTATAGTAACATACTTAGCAATGAAGTTTAGCTTAAAAAATAATGCAAAAGATGCACTGAATACAAATAGTAAAAATATTATCATCTTTCCTAAATAGATGTGACCGTAGTTCAATACGAACACTATTGGTCGTATGTTTTGAGTACTAAGATTTGCAAGTCCAGAAAAATAATTTGTCTTGACAGTATGAAGATCCTCAAGCCATGAAACATAATGACTTATCTCCTCGCAGTTTAATTCAGCCCCGGGACAGTAGTAGGTCCTGTCTACCAAACGCTGGACATGTTTGCTTGATTGGAAATAATCTGTCAATAGAAATTAGTTGTCAACTATTTTTGAATAAACAATATCAAAGACATAAATATGGTTGAGAAACTCACATTTTGATAGAACTGGAGGCGTCTGCACATCGACCCAGATGTCGGTATTACCTTCAATATCATCTTCCGGACGAATATCAAAGGTGATAACCATATCATGCTCAAATGCATAAGTCTTGCATAGTGCTCGCCATGTTAAAGTCTCCAATGCATAAACACGAAAGATCATCGTCAGCAGCAATACTTCTGAGGATGTCCCAAAGTCTTCTATCTATCTTGAGTTTGAGCTTCCCCATAAATACATATGAGTCTCCATGGGCATCGACGACCCTCATTAACTGAAAATCAAGATGGTAACAAGAGTAACCAAGAACTTGCATATTTATACCATTATTCCAAAACACACCAATTTCACCGCTCCTACTGGTGCTACCAACTGCATAAACATTAACATAGCCTAGAGTACCTGCTAAATTCTCTACACGTTCTTTGCTTATTTGAGTTTGAAGTATGCAAAGAACGTGGTAGGAGTAAATTTCCTCGCAATCTCATGAAGCTCTTGAACTATCTTGGCTTTGCCTGCATCGCGACAATTCTAACTTAGAAGATTAATTGGTCCCGGCAAGTCCCCCCGTCGGGAGCCCGCCAATCCATTATTGTACATACTTGTCATTCACTTCTCACTATGTCATGTATTCACCCTCTTTGAGTCACGGATTGACAAACGGCTCAGCAAAACCCATGGAGCTAGTCAGGCTGGTAGAGCACCAACAAGAGATCCCACAATGGCTGGCATCATCCTATCCATTGTTGCGGAAAGTGGAATCCTCTTGTTTTGATCCCTCTTTTTTGTTCAGATCTGCATCAAGCTTCTCTAGATCATCACCACTCGTGAAGTGTGGTCACCCTTAGAGACATACTCCATGTCTTCATCCATGGAGCCGATACCAGCGCCCTCGCGTCCCCTTCTCGATTCCTTCTTCTGCCATCTTGGTAATTAGGGTTCCATCCCCACGCGGCTTGGATGTCTTGGAAAACGAGTGCTGACAGTGGACGAACCCTGTCAACATGCTCCTTGTCGCACACATGTTGCCAAGTCTCCCACGCAGGTTCCCAAGTCGCACACATGTTCTTAAAAAACAAGAATTGGCTATACTCCTTTTCCACATGGACACGCGCCATGACTAGCGACCTGGTCGATCATGGCGGCAAGGCTTCCTCGTCGATGATCACGCCGTCCAGATCCTCCTCTGTTAGTCCCATGCTCTCTAAATCCTCCTACCCTGCCGTCCGAGACGACGAGGCGCCACCTCCAGACGCCATCGCAAGAGAAAGCCGTAAACAAATCAGGAAACCTAACAAAAGTTGCAAGGCCGGGAAGCGTTGCGGCAACCGCCCCTTGATCCACCAATGACGAGGAAGAAGGGAGGCGCGGGGCCAAGACAATCTCAACGTAAGCGTGGGTCGGCGGGAGGAAAAACCCTAACTGGCAGCAGTTGAAGGAAAGTCTCGTGGCAATAATCTGGGCCGTTTCTCAACTTGTTAAACTGGAATGAACTATTCGTAGGGTAAAGCTGGGATTGACTTTTTTTTCTTTTCTTTTGAGAATCAGTCTTTTTTTTTTAGGGAATTTTGAGAATCAAGCAAGTGGAATAAAAATACACATGGCTTCGGGCTAGTTCTCCTCCTCTCCTTTTTGTTTTTGTTTTTGTTTTTTGAGGGGGCCTCCTCCTCTATGTTAGTAGATGGTTGTTGAGGGCCGTCTGGACGGGTTGGGCCGGGCCGGGCCCGAGTAGCAGAGGAAGGAAGCAGAGGGGGGCGCTCGGCGAGGGAGGCGCACGCACTCTCCGCTCGCTCCCACTCCTCCCTTCTTCCTCGCCTCCGTCCGTCTTATCGTCCCCTCCCCAAATCCCGACTCCCAAAACAAATCCATCCCCCCTTCCCCGCCGGCCGCTCGCATCGCCGGCGACATCGCCATCTTCCTCCGCAAGCTGACACCAGGCGGCGCGCCCTCTCCTGTTCTTCGGCTGGCACTGGACTAGCACGGAGTGGGGATCGATCGCCCGCCGGCCGGCCTCTCCGTCCCCTCGCCCACAGGTACGCCGGATCGTGCTGGCCCGCTCCCCCTTTTTTCTCCACCAGTTCCCGCCGCGCGGCCGCCTTTTTTTTTTCTTTCCTTTTATGTCTACATATATTTCCAATCCAATCCAATGCGTCCGGCCGGCGGTTCCCTCCGCCCCGCCCCCGAATCCGTCCTAGGGTTCCGTGCCAGGCGCGGCTTGTTTTTTTTTTTCTTCCCCGAAGCACTGTGTGTGTGTGCTGATCGACACGGTCGGTCAGGCCAGGCAGCGGCCGCCGGGAATGCGTGCGGCCAAGAAAGACTCCAATGTTCGCCTTCCGGCGGGGCAAGATTTTGCGCGCGGCAGTGTGGATCGATGCAGAATCCATTGTTCGTGGCAGTGTCGATGGATTCACTCACTGACTGACCCACTGGCTGGCTGGATGGCTGATGGTCTTTATCGCTACTACTTACTACTAGAATATTTGCCCCGTGTCTGTCAGGGTTCGGTCTTATTAAAAACTTCCATCTACCTAGGGGGTGGATGGATGGATGGATGGCTTTATGACTGAATGTGGCACCTGATGAGATCCACCTGACCAGGTGAGGTGATGATGCCTGCCTTCACCAGCAAAACAAACTAGAAGCAGTGGCATGTCATATGTGTGCCAGGTTATGCGCATGCACAATGTCCTCGTCACTGATTTTTTTTTACAAGTACAAGTAAATGATGCAAGGACATGTATGTAGCTGTCGGCGACACGCTTAGTGCTTCACCCTTGTGTTGGCCATTCACAGCACTTCACATACGAACCAGGACTTTTATATTGTTATCCAATGATACATGCATCCGTTCTTGCATTTACTAACTCGCATTTGTTTGGCAGATGAAGGAAGCCTTTGATCCGCCCGCCTCGGTGGCGGCAGCAACGCCAGAAGCAGAAAACACTGCATCCCTCTTCACCAAGAAAAACATCTGGAGCGGCGCGGCTGCTGAGGGAGACGACGATTCCTCGCCTTGGCCATGTACGTGTCCTGGTAGTAATAATCTGATTAAGCCTCTAGGCAATCCTTTTGGGTCTTGCTTCTTATTTTGCTGTCAAATTATATTTCGTTCTCGTCCTGCAGGGGACGGCGTGAAAAGTGAAGAGGATGCTGATTTTCTTTCTCATGCAAACAGGGCTTTGTCATTTCTGGTATGTTGAGTGCATACCCTTTGTTGTTTACTCATACAATTTTACAGCACTATCTATCTATCTTAAAAGGAAAAATTAGTCAAACGCTACCTCTTGTATAATTTGGGTTGTATTTTCTGAACTAATTTTTTTTTGCTTTACTCCAACTGACTAGATAGATATGTCAAATCTTTGATTGCTCGAGCATAATTAACACCCAAGACCTGTATTTATTATTACCAAGTGATGATTTGAAATTTCAGCTTATTGTCAGTATGAACACTTTGTTTAATTCAGGAGTGGAATATTTGCTATAGTCCAACTGACTAGATAAATATGCCGAATCTTCGATTACTCAACCATAACACACCCAGGGACATTGTATTTATTACCAAGATGATTTGACATTTCAGCTTGTTGTCAGTATGATATCAACACTTGGTTTGATTAATGACTGGAATATGCATTCACATTCTCATGGGTCTTTTAAGTGCGAGATGTTGCTGCATTTTTATGCATGCGCTCAGATGGACCATTGTTTATCATGGCATGATGAATATAATTATTGTTCATTTGTTCGACAAGTATGTGCGAAGTAAAGTATGTTTTAATGAAGCTATACACTTTGTGGATAACATGCTCTATATTACACTTGATGGTTTTGTTTACCGAGATTCAAACAACTCCTCCCTTCTCAGGATTATGAAGCAGAGTCTTCGGAGTGCAAGTATGCTACTGACATTGGGTCACATGTATATCCCAAGGAAGCAATGTCACCACGAAGTGAATATGATAGGCAGCGGCCTTACCTTCCTTTATCGAGCTGTTCTTGGGATTCTTCTTCATCACTGGAAGCGATGTCAGGCAATCGAGATGCATCAGGTCATGTAATGGCAAAAGGTGGAACCAAAAGTGATATCTTTGCGCCAAGGCATGATTATCTTACGTCATGTCCTACTACTGGTCCTCACATGAGAAGATCGTATACTGAAGCAGCTAAAGTTGATTGTAGCTTCGATTGTCACCCAGAGCATCACTACAAAGGATTGGATCGATTTACTCCCTTCGCAAACTGCAATGGTCAATCTATTGAATGCCGCAGTGAGGTATATCTTTGGACCATTAGTTGCACTGGAAAGAAAAGAATACATGTATATATTGTTGTGTATCTGACATATGTAGTAAACAGTCAAAACCTTTTTGTGTATAGATATATCCTTTGTTGACGAATTATCATTGATACAGATAGTTGATATGCCCAGAGGGGGCCGCTGTGTTGATGAGGCTACTTCGTTTTCAAGTCGATGGTGCTTCAAAAATGGGGGCCGGGGCTCTTCACTACCTGGAGGGCTGACATATGGCGATGAGATCCCTTCTCTGTCTAGTCGGAGGTGTAATGGCAATGGGGTGCTTTCACGCTCAAGCCAATGGCATTATGGTGCTGAAATTTCCTCGCTCTCAAGTAGGCAAGGTTATGGCGATGAAATCCCTTCTCTGTCTAATCAGAAGTTTAATGGCATTTCACGCTCAAATCATTGGAACTACAGTGCTGAAATCCCCTCTCTCTCATGTAGACAGAGTTATCGTGATGAGATCCCTTCTCTGTCTTCTCAAAAGTCTAATGGCATTTCATACCCAAGACAATGGCAGCAGTATGGTGCTGACATCCCCTCGTTCTCAAGTAGACAAGGTTATGGTGAGGAGGTTCCAACAATGTCTCACCATTGGCGCTACCGAGATAAGATACCTTTGTATTCTGGTCAGAGGTGCCATGATGCCGAGGCACGTCGATTATCAAGCTACCAGCAAGGTCCTTTTCGTGGGAACAGGCAGCCAAGAGACAGTTTTGCCCATGGTATTGTCAGTAATCAGCAAGCCAAGATGACTGCAACCAGACATACTGGCACAAGACCACGGGTGTCTAACAGAGTTGTAAACAGCACTAGCAACTACAGAAATGGCAGGAGGGATAACCCACCGAGAAATTCTGAGGAAATAAGGGACCAAGTTTGTGGTCCCCGTGCAAGTAAAGTGAATAACACATCAACACCGACTGTGAAGAAAGATATCTTGAGCCCATTGGTCCGTAGAGACCAATTTAACAAATCGGACTTCTCAATCCAGTATGAGCATGCCAAGTTCTTCATGATAAAGTCATATAGTGAAGATGATATTCATAAAGGTATCAAATACAATGTTTGGGCAAGTACACCGAATGGGAACAGTAAGCTGGATACTGCTTTCCATGATGCCCAGATTTTAATGAAGGAAAAGGGTACAAAATGTCCCGTCTTCCTCTTGTTTTCGGTGAGTAATGTTCAAATGCCCTTCTTCTAAGTGTTTATCGCTTTCCACTTCAGAACAGCAAAAGCACTCAATAGCCCTATATATGTTCAGCTGAGATAATCAAGCAAGAATAGTAGTGAATGATAGCCAATTTCGTTACTGAGATTTGGTTTCTACTTTCTTGCGTGATGTTTATATGCATTCTACCCTTTGTTTTGTTTGTTCAGTAGTAGGCTTATTATATCAAATATGTGCTGTATTTCCTTTTCCTGAAGTCAAATTTCCCTGAAATGTGCACTCCGCAGGCTTGCCATCAGATTGAGCAATGATTTTATTCAAAACAGATGCATTTAATTCACTGACACTCACTATTTTCGAATGAAACAATGAAATATATTGTTTGTTGTAATGCTACTGTATGAACTTTTTTTTTGAGACGGATGTTTCAGCCTTTAATTGTATTCTCTGTTTCAGGTTAATACCAGCGGGCAGTTTGTAGGATTGGCTGAGATGTTAGGTCCTGTCGATTTCAAGAAGACCATGGACTTCTGGCAACAAAATAAATGGAATGGCTTTTTCCCTGTTGTTTGGCACATTATAAAGGACATTCCGAATAGGCTCTTCAAACATATCACCCTAGAAAATAATGACAACAGACCTGTTACATTCAGCAGGGACACTCAAGAGGTACCATGATTCGCCATTCTTGTTCTGCATCGTAAAATATTTTTGAAAGAAATAATTGTTCAAGAAAAAGTTGCTACTTTGGGTGGTTTCAGAGTAGCAGGTTTATGTACATTCCTCCTATGAACAAAGGTGCTCCTATGTGATTATCAGTATACTACCTGGATCCATCTAACATGCTACTAGTTGCATAGCGCTAACACTACTGCCTTTCCTTTCTCACCACGGTCGCTTCTCTTTTTCCTGACTTTGTGTTTCTTCTAGAAAACAACATGAGGGATTTTCTAGTACAGATATAGTAAAGTAGCAGAATCCTAGTAGAACTGCATGGATCTATTTTATTTTCTTTTGCTAGCTTGAAATGTTATCTCCTATGCCGTGCATCCATTTCACATTCTATTTGAACTGCTCAGTTCCAAATGTCAAGGTACTATTGTGTTCAACACGACAAGCATATCAGAATGAGATCAATATTGCATATGTATTGGCCTATTGGCGATAAATGATGAAGTTACTTTTTAACTGGAAAGAATGTGCCGCCGAGTAGCAACTAATATTCATATGTGCAGCTGAGTAGCAACTACTCCCTCCGTTCGGAATTACTTGTCTCGGAAATGGATGTATCTAGAACTAAAATACGTCTAGATACATCCATTTCTGCAACAAGTAATTCCGAACGGAGGGAGTAATATTCAGTTAGGAGATGCAACTATGGAGTAACGACAAATATTTTTAGTTCAACCTCTCACCTACTACCTTTCGAACTAAAAGAGTGTCTGCAAGTTTAAAAAAAGGTAAAATATCTAAATCCACCGATACTTCCTGATAACTCATCACAACATACCAGAGATGCATTGGATATCGTGTGGTGCCTCCATGGAGATCAGGGGCAATCTAGCTGCACACAGTTGCACGTCGGAACGCGTTCAGTTTACTGCTTTCTTATGTTTGTATTTGTTGATATATTGCCTAATATCAAGTTTACTCGGCATATGCTTTGTTGCAACTTAACTTTAGGTTCTTATTGTCCATTTTTCTTCTTCTCATCTTATCCTTTATTTCTTCTGTGTAGATTGGCCTGCCCCAGGGTCTGGAAGTGTTGAAAATTTTCAAGGCTTATCGCCATGGAACATCAATTCTGGACGACTTTGACTTTTATGAAGAAAAGGAAAACACTCGCTGTGCACGGAAGGGAATAAATGCAGACTCGTTACATGAAGCCAGACTATCTTACTTTGGAACAGATGACTTGAAATCAATGGTATGCACATCTTTTCTTTACACTAGTGTGGTAAGCTGCTACTCCCTCCGTCCCATAATATAAGAGCGTTTTCGACACAACGCTCTTATATTATGGGACGGAGGGAGTACTCAGTAATACTTGTATGGATGGAGGCATTAAAGAGTAATATTTTGTTGTCCTATTATTTTAAGAGAACCATGGGCATTTTGTGAACATTCTTACTGTAGCTGTTCTTCAAAAATACTGTAGCTGTGTCACTTATTTTGACACGGAGGGAGTCTTTAGCAACCTGCAAATATCTAAGAAACGATATAGAACATGCACAAATATTCCTGAAGAGAGCGGTTGTTATTTAATTGCTGTCAGTCTACTAAAGGAAAGAAGAACAATATTCAGAAAGTTCAGGCTTATGTTGTCGTCTGCACCATCTCAATCCAATATGTGTATTATTGATGATTCATCAATTCTAGTAACCCTGCAGCTTCATTGCATTGCCATGCCATGTTTCCTGACCATGCCCGTTTCTGTGCGCAGGGAGACATCGAGGTGAACATGGAGAGCCTGAACCTCCACGAGCCGTGGGACTAATCCGGACGGTTCTTCACCATGTCGCAAAAAAATTGACGAGCCATTGACGCGGTCGAACGAGAAACGTTTGATCCGACGAGTGGGCGCTACTACACAAGTTAACCTGAAATATGCTATAGAATGTTTGTACTTTGTATGGACCATATATAGTTTGCCGGTAAACACATACCATATATATCTAGTTTCCGTCGTCGGGGTAAGATAGTTTTACAAATCGGTACAACAATCATGTGGTGACTGCCATGTGTGTCCGTTTGGTTGGTTGTATGTGGCTGATGGAATATTTTGGTTGACACAAGGATTGAACCAGCAAATGATATATATCTAAGGTTGCATGTAGCATGCCTGTTAGGGGTTATCATTTTCTGTGAGCTTATTTTCCTTGCAATGTTTTACCAAATACTCCCTCCGTTCCTAAATATTTGTCTTTTTGGAGATTTTAACAAGTGACTACATACGAGACAAAATGAGTGAATCTACACTCTAAAATAAGTCTACATACATCCGTATGTTGTGCCCATTTGAAATGCCTAGAAAGACAAATATTTCGATTTCGGAACGGAGGGAGTAGGAAATATAGGTAGTATCTGGCAAATTGCATTCATGGAAGAATGTGCGAAAATTTGCAAATCTAACCAACATCTTATGATGAAGTTAACCTAAAAAACAAGGATATTGCCTGCCTTCTTTTTACAAAAAAGAAGATATTATTGACTACAATTTGGTATAAAAGAAATGTTCCGCGGGTGTCCATAGATCATCAACTTGACCAATGATTTGTCTAGACGATCTTATATTGTGGGACCGAGGGAGTATATTGCAGGAGTATTATATATATCGGGTATAAAAGGTATATAACTGAATTTATATATTTTTAAAGTCTTTGATGGTGTACTATTTATGATACATAATTCAGATTTTCTTTTTGAACTTCATAATTCAGATTTTGTTGATCAAACTAATAATGATCTAAAAACACGAAAAGGTATATAACTGAATTTATATTTTTTTAAAGTCTTTGATGGTATACTATTTATGATACATAATTCAGATTTTCTTTTTGAACTTCATAATTCAGATTTTGTTGATCAAACTAATAATGATCTAAAAACACGAAAAGGTATATAACTGAATTTATATATTTTTAAAGTCTTTGATGGTGTACTATTTATGATACATAATTCAGATTTTCTTTTTCAACTTCATACTTCAGATTTTGTTGATCAAACTAATAATGATCTAAAAACACGAAAAGGTATATAACTGAATTTATATATTTTTAAAGTCTTTGATGGTGTACTATTTATGATACGTAATTCAGATTTTCTTTTTGAACTTCATAATTCAGATTTTGTTGATCAAACTAATAATGATCTAAAAACACGAAAAGGTATATAACTGAATTTATATATTTTTAAAGTCTTTGATGGTGTACTATTTATGATACATAATTCAGATTTTCTTTTTGAACTTCATAATTCAGATTTTGTTGATCAAACTAATAATGATCTAAAAACACGAAAACGTATATAACTGAATTATATTTTTAAAGTCTTTGATGGTGTACTATTTATGATACATAATTCAGATTTTCTTTTTGAACTTCATAATTCAGATTTTGTTGATCAAACTAATAATGATCTAAAAACACGAAAAGGTATATAACTGAATTTATATTTTTTTTAAGTCTTTGATGGTGTACTATTTATGATACGTAATTCAGATTTTCTTTTTGAACTTCATAATTCAGATTTTGTTGATCAAACTAATAATGATCTAAAAACATGAAAAGGTATATAACTGAATTTATATATTTTTAAATTCTTTGATGGTGTACTATTTATGATACGTAATTCAGATTTTCTTTTTAAACTTCATAATTCAGATTTTGTTGATCAAACTAATAATGATCTAAAAACACGAAAAGGTATATAACTGAATTTATATATTTTTAAATTCTTTGATGGTGTACTATTTATGATACATAATTCAGATTTTCTTTTTGAACTTCATAATTCAGATTTTGTTGATCAAACTAAATAATGATCTAAAAACACGCGTGGGCCTTCTGTTCCAAGGGGGATATACTCCCTCCATTCCAAAATATTTTAAGTTGTAGACTCCTTCAAGTTTGATGACTATTATATAGAAAAAATTGCTAATATTTATAACACGAAATATAAATAACATGATGAATCTAGTGAAACTAATTTAGTGTTGCAGATGTTTGTTTTTTTTCTATATAAAGTTGATCAAATTTAAAGGGACAAAGCTAAAACTTTAATTTTTTTGAAATGGAGAGAGTGTGTGCAGAGGCCAGAGCAGGGACATTGACCTCCATACTGAAAATAGGCCCAAAAAAACATAACAGGCCTGCAAGTGTTCCATCTTTTCATAGGATGAAAAGAGACAACCCATCAGCCAAGAGCCAACACCACCAAGCCCATCACAGATTTGTGACAGCCGCCGCACGATAACCGGAACAGAAAGAACAACCAGCATAACACAGAACCATCAGGGCCAAATGTATTCCCTACCAGCTCCAATTGAACAAAGATACCAGGTGCAAAAGAGTACATGCATGAATTCAGTAAATGGTGCTAGCTTCGAACACTATATATACAGTAGATACGGATATAGGTACCGCGCCGAGCAAACGACGCAAGGTGCATCATGAGCAACAGCACGCGAGCAGAGCACACGTCCCAGCACGCCCTGAGGACGGCCATGCCTCGTGAAAATGACGGGGTTGAATGCTGTTCAACAATCCAACCCTTTAAACGCGACACGGTTGACTTGGATCTTCCAATGCAGGGATCCGTGCTGCACTTCAGGCATTTTGACTGAAGCAGCACGTCACCTAGCGCCTCAGGCTGGCATGGCAAAAGATCACGCAAGGAGTCATGGCTAATTCATGGGGTAAAGAACCTCACGGCGGGTGAAGGATTTAGTTACCATGATCGCCCACGCGTCAGCGCCGCTCCTCCGACCTTGACCTCACGAACCTCCGGCGAGTCCTGGGCCTCTGAACCTCCTCGTCTAGGCTATCCTCGTCCTCATCATCGTCGTCGTCGTCGTATTGGAGGCCTAGCAAGTTCTCTCCCCACAGATAGCGGCGCCTCTGCCTTCTCAGGGCCCTTGATGAGGCTCTTGGCTCGTCTCCTGATCTCAGCGGGCCACTGTTCATCATATGGAATAGGAAGAACGTTGTCAACAGAGACCCGCTTCGGTCACTTGGCCCGCCGTCTTCACGCTCGTCCGCACTTGGCCCACCTTCAATGACGTAATCTCCAAGCACAACTGACCCAGGCATAGCCGACCTGATTGCGCTCATTATGTCACCATACTCCCGCTGGTTCTCCAGGCGGTGCCACGCGCGGCGCCTTGACGGGTCCACATCAGCAGGCCTGGTAGTGGGGTGCACCCTCCTGGCATGTCTACGGAGCGCACCATAGGTACCAGAAAATGCGCATGCTTCCCGCGAGCAGCTTCTTGGCTTCTCGTCCAGGTACTGTCTGGCATCTTTGATGATCTCCCAGCCCTTCACAGCACCCCTACACAGTGGGCACATCAATTCGTTCGAGTTGGATGCCTCAGCTGACTCGACTTGCCCAGTCACTTGTCCCATAAGAGCTTCCAATGTTACTGGACCTTGATTATAGTTAGTTCCTTCTTGCTGTCCAGATACGGCTGCAGGGCTACGGACATGTTCATGACTGAGATTTTCACGGAATTCAGGTACATCTATTAACAGCCTGGGGCTCCCTCTACTGGGACCGAGACGGGATCTCTCTGAAACATTTTGGTTACTTGTATCTCCAGGCAAGGAAGAGCTTGGCTGTGACGAACTGTCCATGCGGTTCACTTTCATTTTCCTGAATCTGTCTAGGCAATTTGAGTGTCTATAGCTTGTATCACATATGTAGGATCTGCATCCTTTGTCATGAGAACTGCACAACAGAAGTACGGCATTGTGAGGATGGTCCATGCAAATTGGACACCGGGCATCATCCCATTCCTTGTGCAGTGCAGCCATCTCGGCATCTGCGCTTGGCATCCTCAACAACTTCTTCTCTGGATTTGGCATCTTGGACATGCTGTTCTGGGACCAATTAGAAGAACGTAACTGGTCAATTTTGACATCAAAACATGTATAGCAATTATTACATCTTCATTGAGTCTAGATTATTCGAGATATACACACAAGTATCAGAAAATGTTGAAATCAGAAAGGCATACAAAGGAAAAAAAAGAACTTATGTTAACCAGCTTCAGCGGTGAAGGTACGAAATTGATTTATATGTTTTCTGCTCATCCAAGTTATCAATAAACTAACAAGTTTGAGCTTCAGACGATGCAATCCAAGTTATCAATAAAACTTGTGTACAATTAAGATTTCAATTAAGATAATTAATTTGCACCTTGGAGATATTGAATCTAACTATCCAGTTGATTCATATGTTCGACCAACAGCAATCATATTATTCTAACCAGAGCAGTGAAATCAACTCTAACAGGAACTGATGAGATTAATACAAGAGACTAGATGATTTGATATATCCTAGCCCCCTGTTATGTCCAAGACCTGTATAATCAGGTGCTCTGGTTTGATGAAGTGGTAGCACAAACGACAGGTGTAAAAGCACTGAAATGTGTGTAATTGCAATCATGTCATTTGAACTTATTTATCCTCGTTTTAGTAACTCATCGTATGCTCTTCAAATAAGTAAATGAAACGGTTGATAAGATTCAGTTCACCTTAAAATACTATTACCTCCGTCCCGAATTAATTGTCTCAGATTTGTCCAGATACGGATGTATCTAGACACTTTTTAGTGTTTAGGTACATCCATATCTAGACAAATCTGAGACAACTAATTCAGGACAGAGGGAGTAGTAGTAAATTATAAATCATATCATCAGAAAGTTATAAAAGATATCCTTGTCCAATACTAGGACAAACGATCTAGATAATTTTAACTATATACAGCATGTTTCCCTTAAAAAACCTAAATAACATTTTTCCTTTGCCGAAGTAAAATAACAATATTCTTTATATTACTTTGCAACAGTGAATGGGACATTACATCTTTGACCAGCAGCGTATAGAAACTGATTGAAATGATAACGGCTGACACCCATGCTACGGTTCACACGACAATGTCAGAATTCTCAATAAGATGTTTCCCTAATCACCCACACACCAATGCTAGCTTTCTCAACAGACTCATATCATTCGTACTAAGACTAGTAAGTACCATCTCTTATATTCACATCAAGACGGCCTGTATGACGTACCGTCACCTGCTTAAAAAATTTGACCCAGTGGAACAGATCAAGGGGCTGAAGTGCCGGTAAAAAATGATTCAAGACATACGACAATTGCATAGCATTATTGCAAAACTATCCCTAGTGCTACCCAATCACATTATGCAGCACGGCATGATCTTTGCATCCATCGGAACAAGCTAGTTGAGACCTATGATGCATTCTCACTTCAAACTAGCACCAATCATGATCCAAGCTGTGCCATCATTACTGAATTCACCCAAGTGCAGCTGGACATGCACAACAGCTGCACACAATTCATCCGTTTCAACGTTCTCACCTGAGCTGAACCTTGAAGAACACCCAGACAGGCAATCCGGCTCTCCGAAACCTTTGCGGAAAGCGCTCGACTCAGACTCCGGCGCCGGTCCTGCATCCGCATTGCACAATGAAAAAAGGTTTGTCATCCATGGTTACAGACGCTCAAACAAACTTAAATCTCGCATGGCTTCCCCACTAATCAATCGGCATCGCAGAAAGACGCATTTTCTTCAGGTTAATGCCCTTCTAAAGTGTCTGAATTATTTTTCTTCAACTTGCAGCAAATGACTGCACATCAGGTTGCTTCGTTTACCAGTTTTAGCAAGCACATGGAGATGATCCAACAACAAAAAAAGTCCCGATCTATCTCCCATGGAACCCTAACACCTTAATAACCCCCGCCCCATGCTAGCAAAAAATCCCCAACCTCATCACGTTGGGAGAACGAGGCGGCGATTCCACGGCCATGGCGGCCGCGGAATCGCCCAGATCCATGGCCGGATCTGGACGGCGTGCGCCGATTTGCGCCGGTTCAGTTTGGGATTAAGCAACCGCCGGACAGCCAAGAGGCCATACCTCAAATAGTAACCGCCCAGGGGGCTGCGGGCGGAGACGGCGATGGGGGCTAGGACGGGGCCGGCGACGCGGGCGAGGGGTGGCCGGCGGCGAGGCTAGGCCACGCCGCGGCGGCCGGATTGGATTGGATTGGATTGGATTGGATTGGAGGTCTGGGTAGGTCAGGACTCGGACGACTCTGCAGAGGGAGAGGGGAGAGGGGAAGAGGAGTGAAAGAAAGGCCCCGTCTTTCCTCTGCTCCGGAGACGGCGGTTTTTGTTCTATGCCAAAAGCTACGATTTTTATCTTCGAACCCTTCGAAAAGTTCCAACTTTTGTATGTCATCTTTGTTTGGGTGGATGGATGGATGGATGGATGTGGACGGGTTGCATTGAAAAAAGGCCCTCATGAATGCGTACAAGTTTGTGTATTTGTTGTGCACCTCTTGTGTTGACGTGGGTTTATGGGGAAGGAAAAAAAGAACGAGGGGTGGATATTGAATTTTGCGATTCGGCGGGGAGGAAACCGGCAATTTTGGCCTTGTCGGCAAACTTCGGCCAAGAATAGGAAACGGTCCGACTCCGCCGGTTGAAGCCGTTGATGTGTCGGACACCGTCCGATCTCGCTCG